AAGTGTGTGCATTTATCAATTGAAGGACGTGTTGATCATTATTACCGTTTCTTAATTCCCCTGCGTTAACAAACAAAGCTTCAAGGATATATGTAGGATGAATAAAAACCTTTTTTTTCCTATTCAGGGGTTTAGCTAATTTACATAAAACTTAATTCACTCAATAAGGAAAAGACGTCGTTATTTACACATTCACATAATTCTAAACCCATATTTCTATTCTATTTTACGCACTTTTATTTTCCGACCACATCTGCCAAGCTCCAAAAAGGTACATGTAAGAACTAACAGAGTTGTCAGTGACATAATACATGGTGCGAGTGTTATTTTTCAATTTGAACATGGATGCAAATGAGATTTCAGAAAATTTTCAAAAAAGGACTTGCATTTAATTTGTTTGTCAATAAACTTAGGATTAATGTTAACCGTTTTAACTTTACAAAATAAGTAAGTAAATTCAGGTAAAATCAAGGCAAAACTAGAGGGATTGGAGCATTGTGTTCCAGTTTAACGATGTCAGACAAGCGTAGAGCGTATTTCAAAGTCTAGAGGAGACGGTGTGTTTGTGCATGTGCGAGGGAGGGTGGGTTCGGGTAGCACCCTGGGATTCGCCGATGACAGGATGCAGGAATCGGAATACGGTCCCTCCCGTTGTCTGAGAATCCAGTGAGGGTGTTTGCCATATGCTCGTCGTTTCCCAGGGAAAAGGAATCGGAGGATAAAAGCGACAGCAGCTATGAGCCTTTTCAATATGTTCAAAGCCCATATGAAAATTACTGTACACAAGTCTTCTACAGAGGCCAATTTTAGATCAAAGCCTGAACAGACAAGAAAGTTACAGATGACGAGGAGAGAGAAATTCCAGATAAGTTGTGCTGTTTGCTTGAAATAATAGAATTAGTCTTACAAAACAAAGACAATGAAAGAAAATTATTCCCTTGAAAAAGGAGAGAAAACAAGATCTCAGTCTTAGATAATAGTCTTCTTATAGCAGGTCATTATACCTAGTCGTTCCTAAGACATTACTAGTTGGTGACTATAATATTCTAGCAGTTTGCATGGGGCATTGCAAAGTGTTTTGGATGGTCGCTTAGGAGTTGCTATGCAGTTGATGGGGTGTTCTAGGTGGTTGCTTTGGTGTTGCCAGGCAGTGTTGTGGTCGAGACCAGCTCACTCGAGTCCAAGTCGTAGTCGAGACCAGCTCACTCGAGTCCAAGTCGAGACCGAGACCAAAGAGAGTTGAGTCCGAGTCGAGACCGAGATCAAAGACAGTCGAGTCCAAGTCGAGACCGAGACCAGAGTGGGTCTCAAACCAGACTTAAAGATATCTTCAAGAATATGTAAAATATTTGGTGCTAACAATAAAATTGGCACCATACTCAAACAGTAAACCAAATATACCATGGAATCATGTACACTGTAATGGTAAAAAGGCCACATAGTGGTGTAAAGGTAATTTTATTATATGACTTAAGTGGGTGCTCTTTCACAGAACATTACTGCACACGAATTCTGTGTGGCTCTTATATGCAAACTGAATTAGGGATGATAAGGCAGACATTTTCAATACATAGTTGAGCTAGAGGCTCCACATCACATCTGACCTGGGTCTTGCTGCATTTGCGTGCCGCGAACGTTATAGTCTCAACTTTAAGTCATTCAATCAAACAACAATTTAAAGAAATATTAACATACAGTAATCATCATGACATATTTTGAATGGGACTCGAGCGGACTCGGGAATAAGTCCGAGTCCCGACTCCCAATATGTTCGAGTACGAGTCAATTCCGAGTCAAAATGCACAATCCATGACAAGACCGAGTCCATTAAAATAGTCTGAGTCTCGAGTGCACAACACTGTTGCCAGGTAGTGGCTGAGGCATTGTTATGGTGTTAATAGGTGGTTGTTGTTCTGGGGTGTTGCTAGGTGGTTGATAGGGTGTTAATAGGCAGTTGCAGGGGCATTGCAATTCTGTTAGTAGGTGGTTGTTCTGGGTTGTTCCTAGGTGGCTGCTAGATTGTTACAGTTGCAGGGGCATTGCTATGGTGTTTATTAGGTAGATGTTTTTATCTGGGTTGTTTGCTAGGTGGTTGATAAGCTGTTACTAGGCATTTGGGCATTACTATAGTGTTAGTAGTTGTGCTGTGTTTGTTGCGGGGTGGTTGCTAGAGTGTTACTAGGCAGTTGCTGGGGTATTGCTATGGTGTTAGTAGGTGGTTGTTGTTCTGGGTCGTTGCTAAGTAGTTGCTAGAGTGTTACTAAGCAGTTGCATGGGCATTACTAGTGACTTAGTAAGTGGTTGTTGTTTTGGGTCTTTGCTCTGTGGTTGCAAGAATGTTACTTGGCAGTTGTAGGGGCATTGCTATGGTTTTAGTAAGTGGTTGTTGTTCTGGGTTGCTTCTAGGTGGTTGCTAGAGTGTTACTAGGCAGTTGCTGGGGTTTTGTTATGGTTTTAGCAAGTAGTTATGGTTTTGGGTCATTGCTAGATGGTTGCTAGAATGTTACTAGGCAGTTGCCAGGGCATTACTATGGTCTTAGTAAGTGGTTTTTGTTCTGGGTTGCTTCTGGGTGGTTACTAGAGTGTCACTATGCAGTTGCTGGGGAACTGCTATGGTTTTAATAAGTAGTTGTTGTTCTGTGTTGTTTCTAGATGGTTGCTAGAGTGTAACTAGGCAGTTGCATGGCCATTACTAGGGTCTTAGTACGTGGTTTTTGTTCTGGGTTGTTTCTAGGTGGTTACTAGAGTGTCACTATGCAGTTGCTGGGCGCTGCTTTGGTTTTAGTAAGTGGTTGTTCTGGGCCTTTGCTCAATGGTTGCAAGAATGTTACTAGGCAGTTGCTGGGGCATTGCAATGGTTTTAGTAACTGGTTGTTGTTCTGGGTCATTTCTAGGTGGTTACTAGAGTGTTACTAGGCAGTTTCAGGGGCATTGCTATGCGTTAATAGGTGGATGTTGTTCTGGTTTACTGCTAGGTGACAAAAACTCCATGGAACAGTTTAGAAAATGGTGTGTGATCATATACACAATGCATGTCACTCTAAAGCAGGGGTCTCAAACTCAAATGAACTGGGGGCCGCTGGAGATAGAGTCTGGGTCAGGCAGGGCCGCATCAAGTATTCCAAAAAATAAAAAAAATTATTTAAGTATTCCAAAAATGGAGCACAACTGATCCAATCTTCTCAATCTTTATTATTAACGTTTCTTCTGAACTGTTCCTCTGAATTTGAACATTCCTTTCTGTACTTGATTGGTTCTTCATGAGCTGTCCTTCTGACAGTTCAAGTTAATTTTACAAACTTTCTTTGTCTTTTTCTTATACACAACATCTTTGTTGTGATGATAGTCATATTTGCTTTTTATTTTCTTTATACAACACTATTATATTGTTGTTGTTTTTTTCCAAAAGGCACATTTCCTTTTATTATACTTAGAAAAACAATTACTGCTTTTGAAATACAAATAATTCTTTCTACACATGTATAGTGTCTCAGGCAAATTACTGACTTTGCACATATCAAAGCAAACCTTCTTATCAACCATTACATGAACTAGTTCAAGGTTCAATTCACAAATTTTAAAATGAACTAGTTCTTTTTTTCCCATATGTTGCTGCGAGCTTCTTTTTTTATTATTAGGCTATTATTATTGCCACAACCCATATACAACCACAGATAACAATCATTTTATCGACGGGCAAAGTTTGCACAGACACAGAAGATTTTCCCATCCTCACCAACCTCATAAAAGCCTTTTAAATGATCTTACGACGGCTCCTCGGTTCACAACCATTTGAATGAACGAGTTCACTGTAACGTTCATCAGGCAGTAATACAGTAGGCTACGTTCAGTTCACGTTCGCCCAAAATATGAACGAGTTCATTAACTATCGTTCATTGAACGCGTTCAGACACAACACATATTACAAGCTCAAAATTATTATTCTCACATTGTTTTAGAGCAGGGGTATCCAACACGTCGCTCGCGAGCTATCAGTAGCTGTGGCCTGATTTGGTGGTGGTAGCTCGCCTGTTCACATATCGCGCTCACATATTTTGCACGCTCAAGTACGTTTCAAATGTAGGCGCGCATCAAGCGCCGAGCGCGCTCATAATTGAAGCGACGCGCTCATTTTTTCCAGCCGCAGTATATTTGTACTTCGTGGTTGTCTATGACAACTATTGACAACAAACCCACGCTAAGCTGTCACGAGACTATGGTAGCCCATAAGGGATAAAAATAATAATAATTTAAAAAAACGCGGCAAACGCAACGGCGGGCCGCAATAACATTAAACTTTAATATCAAGTAGGGGGCCACAAAATATCATCCCGCGGGCCGCAAATGGCCCGCGGGCCGCGAGTTTGAGACCTCTGCTCTAAAGACTTATGGTGTGGTGATGGCACAGTGGATAAGACACAAGCCTTTGTTTTGAGAGACCAGGGTTCGAATCCACTGCGAGACACCAATGTGTCCCTGAGCAAGACACTTAACCCCTAGAGGCGTGCAACCTCTGACATATATAGCAATTGTAAGTTGCTTTGGATAAAAGCGTCAGCTAAAAATGAATAAAAAAAGGTAAAATTTCATAAATGACAACTAAGGTCTATTGCTCAAAGTTCCTCTTCATTCAAGCATCAATTTTGTTTCTCCTAAAAATATGATTACTGTATACATAGAAATACATTAAGCAATTATTGACATTCAATAAAACTATGCTGCTTTGGATGAATTACTTGAACAGAATAAATAGTTAGCAATGGTAAACTAAAAATGGTCTAAATTAACTAACTACTTTTATTTAAGTCGTTTAACCATAATGCTGTCTATGAGTAATGACTGAGATATTAAAGAAATTATTATTTATTTATTTTTTTGCTTTTTCTTTCCTGTAGAGAGCGTTTTCACTCACCTTGAATGCAGTGCAGTCGGTCGGGTTGAGAGCAGCCCACTCTGCCTCGCTCTCCTGCACCATCTGGCCTAGTTTTTGTCATTGCTTCCCCTGGAGAGACTGACCTGAGCAGGAAAACACCGCAGGAAGCAGCTGCCACCCTGTGCTCACCTGCAAAGAATCCACAAACAGTGACAAAAGTTTTGTTGGCAAAACAGAACAATGTAGACTTTAGGGTGAGCAATAGTAAGAGTAACTTTAAAAGCGAGCTGCTTTCATTGCCATCTGTTTGCTCGACAGAGAAAAATGGCTGGGTTTATTAAAAAATAATAATGTTTCATAATCCTAAAAGGGTTGTTCAAAGAACAAAAGGAAATGGTGATGTAAAAAAGCGATGAAAAACAGCTGTGCACATTGTCTTTAATCAGAGGGGCTTGATTTCAGATTTGGGATCATGATTTCCTTCCTTTAATATGCCTGTCGACAATTCTCAAATTTGGGTCCGTTTCTGTAGGAAACCACATCAAAGCATCAAACACGTTATTGTTTCCTCACACATCAGTCGACATGCTAATTTCGCAAAGAGGCAATTAGAATTGGTTAATAGCAAGCACACTGTGTATTAATCTCAATGTCTCACCCATGGCCTGCATATTCATATAAATATAACATGACTTGTCACCACTCCTGAAATTTATTGGTTTTCCACCTTCACAAATTAAGAGTTCCAATTTATGAATATTTTAGCACATGTGCGCTCTGCGGGACATTTATCACCGGCGTCGCTATTCTAAACAGAATAAATGAGCAGTCAAGCTGCCGCGCAGCCGGACGTTCCTGTGGACAGATTAATGAGAGAGCAGGAGCGATGGGGCAGCCGGGCAGGTTGGGCCTCCCTTGGAGGGGAGAGGGTGGAAGCACTGTGAGAGGAGGACAGAGGAGAAGAGATACAGGAAGAGCTGAAAGCACGACTGAGATCCACGCCAGAGATTCTCGTCTGATCTACATGCACTAAAATGTTGCACGTCGAAGACCTCCACAACTGTCCAATTACCCACAATGCTCTTTGTCTAATTGCGTCACCCATTTTTAACCTTAATGATTTTCTACTGGTGATATGTCAAAAGGAATGCTGAAATGTCAAACGAATCAACATGACATCATGACTTTTGCGTAAACATATACGCCACTTTCGAGTCAGGTGGCGTGTTATCTCCACGCATTTTGTGCTATCCGCGTATATACGCGTGTATGCGTATATGTCTACGCCATTAATGTCCGCGTCATTCCGCGTGTCTGAACAAGCAGTCAAATCTCCAGTCATAAATGCCATTAACCCCAGTGACGGTTAAGTTTAGGGATGGGGTTGAGGTAAGTCATATATTTATATAACGTTAAGTCAACGGCGTTCATAAACACGCTGAAAGGCGATTATGCGTCTTGATAGCACGCCAAAAATGGAAATACGAATTGGCGTGTCATAAACACGCTACTTCATGAGGTCAGTCTGAACGAATAATGTACTATATACAACATGAATCAGCAAAATGTTAGCATAATTCCAAGAATGTTGCAATACGAAACAATTGTAATGCTAACATGTCAAACATATTGTAATGTCAAAAGACTGTTGTAATACCCCAAAAAAATATTGATAAAAGAACAGCGTTTTGTAATGTCAACAATCGTGCAGACTTTTAAACAATGTGTTAATGTACTTAAAAGCATGTCGCAATTGAATTCACAATAATGTTTAATGCTGTTATGCCATAGATTTTTGGCAGATAAATGTCATATTGCCAGAAGAATTATATAATGTCAAAACCGTCATAATCCAAAAAACTTGTAAAGCCAAATGTTGCTTGCCATGCCAAAGAATGTCAAAAAAAATGCTGTGATACCAAAAAGTATTCAATTCAATTAAAATATATATATATATTATCTATAACCCAAGAAAGGTTGCAATGACAAAATAGTGTAACCTTAAGAATCGCTCCTTCTTAAAATAATGCAAAATGTTGATGTTAATTATTCAAAACAAATGCCATAATAATGATGCAGCAAGAATGCTGTAATCTCAAAATAATGTTCTAAAGTCAGAGTTTTCACAATGCCAAACAATGTTGCAATGTAAAAGTCATTGTTGTTACGTGTACTTACTATAGTACAATCAGTAATTAGTAGGGCTGTCAAACGATTAATCGCGATTAATCACATCCAAAATAAAAGTTTGTGCTTACATAATATACAATATGTGGGTGCACTATGTATATATTATAATTATATATATATATATATATATACAGTATATATATATATACACACACACACACACACACACATGCTTGTGTATATTTAAGAAATATTTTAATCTATATACTGTATATAGATTTATATATAATTTATATTATATATATAAATATCAATGTTTTATATATTAATAATATTTTGTGTGTGTGTGTGTGTATTTATATATGTACAAAATAATTATACACTGTGCAACCACATATATTAAGTAAACACAAACTTTTATTTTGGATGCGATTAATCGTTCGACAGCCAATCGTTCGCGATTAATCGTTCGACATGTAATGCATAATTACATGCAACTAACCCTAAACCAACCCTATAGTACATATTGTTCATTCACATTACTCAGTACAAAGTACAATTACACTGTAACAAGGACACCTTAAAATAACGTGTGTAATGCTAAAAGAACGACAATGTCAAAAGAGTAAAACTGGCCAGGAGGCGTCACGTCATTATATCGCGTTCTGCTTTTGAGAAGCGGCATGAGGGCATCCATGCATCCAAAACAAGCTCCCACTATGCGGAACGACGTTCCTAAAGTTTACTTTGTGAAAAACCCATCTGCTATGGGAGAACGCATCACTCGACAACAGCCTCAGCGGTGACTCAAAACTGTGTGCCTTATTTCACAGACTCCCACCCAAAACACCTGGCACAGACAAGAGTGAGATCATTTAGATAAAAGCTGGCAGAGGATGTGCATGCTGGATCCCTTCCATATCGCCGAGTCCCGCCACATGCTTGGTGTCATCCTCAAGGTTTCGCCTGCCTTGGGGAACGTGAGCCCAAGATAAGAGAAAGAGAAGCCCTCGGTGGTGGTGCTAATTATTTCTGCAGCTTCAGTCCTGTCCCGCCCCGGAATGCTCTCCGCTCACCTGGCTCTCTCTACCACATCAGAAGGAGGACTAGAGCTCGCTCTCCTCCGAGAGAGCCGCATATCCGCCCGGCTTTTCATAAACACTGGCAGCTGCTCCGGCAATTAGCCATGCGCTCCGTACTTTTACAACAATGCAATCCTCCCTGATCTCCACAATTAGCCTCTTAATTGGGTCTAAACAACCAAGGCGGAACAGATAAATAAAAAAGCGGAGGAGAGCGGAGGGGTTGGGCGGCTGAAGCTCCAGAAGCCAAACGCTCTCCCTCTGCGGCCTTTGGCATTTCGCCGTTTGTGGCGGACGGAAAACACAGCGGATGAAAAAAAGAAAACAAGAAACTCGGCGTGACACCTGATATTCAGATTGAAAGTGACATGTCTTTGCCCTTTACTTCCTCTTTAACTACCCAGCTCTGTGAAATGCTAACATTTCGTGTGACAGAGGGTGTTATGGTGACTTTTAAACACGCTGTTCGGTGCCTCATGATTCTGTGAAGATGGCTTATGTGACCCGAAAAGCACACTTGACGGAACAATAACCATGTATACCCATATATCTTCATGAGGGGATCCGATACTAATCTGTTAATTAATGACGCTTGCATGTCATTATAGAGCATATTCCTCATCATCCCTTAATTAACATTAATTTAACGTCTAGACCCACACTACAAATTATGGTTTTAATAGTTTTTTACAGCTTTCTGTATTTGAACACACATGGGTGAATTGCACCAAATCTGGAAGATATTTGGATCATATTTCATTTTTGGTTATTATTATTATATTTTACATTAATAAAATAAAGCCTGTTTTAGAACCATTAAGAGAAGCACATTATTACAATAATACAAATTGTATTATAGGGTGGGGTTAAATTACCCATTTAATAAAAGAGTATTTAATTTGTAAAGCATTTGCAAATATTTAAGTAAACGAGACGGTGCAGTGATTTACAGAAAAAGTTAAGTGTACTTAATTGCTGTGTGATTAAATTATGTCACACAGGTCCTAAAATAATCTTTATTTTAGTAAGCAAAAATACAATCTATTTTTTTTTTTTTCTATGCAACCTGGACTTATTTTTGTGAGATTCATTTACACGGTAGGGTTTGGTTCTGCAGTATAGTGGGCCTGAATATTGCATCACAAGAGTTTCCTTGAGGCACTTAATATCAGTCGCTTATTTCAGAGGCACATATTAATGCCGGAACATCCATGCTACGTAATCTGACAAATCGTTTTGTTACAGTGCATTAACAAGAAAGCAAATGCAACACCAGAACTTGTCCATGACACACTACTACTACAAGTTCCCTTGCTTTCATAGAGGCCTTTTCTTGTCCATTTATTCCTGAGGAGCATGTCTCATCTAAAGGTTTTTATTTTGACTAGTGGTTCTTCTCAGCAGGTAGAGTTTGATGCGTGTGTGTGTGTGTGTCAGCTGTGAGTGCTGACAGCAGCGTCTGGCCCTCACACACACCACTCCAGCAGGGGAGCCCGACCGCACCGTACAGCATTTCTATATCAGCAGAACACTCAGTGTGCAGCCTCCACAACATTACACACACACACACCTCTAATAAAGAATACAGGCACCATCTAGTGCTTTCAATTGGCAAAGACTTATAAATACAAAAATACATATTGCACAAATCAAGCTTTAAGATAGGATCTATTTATCTACTCTATCTATCTATCTATCTATCTATCTATCTATCTATCTATATTGAATAGCTAAAAAAAAGAACAATATAGAGAACAGCTGTTTTACAAATTCAGACAGCAATATTTACAATACAGAAGCAGTGTAACATCCTTTACAATAATCCAGATTCTGAATGAATCTTATAGCTTCAGATAGTGTAGTTACCAGCGAGAGTATGATGGCATATTTGATGAACTTTACAGTCAGTGAACTGAAGAGAACTGAACTGAATGATCACCGAACTGACCTCAGCCGACCAATGACACTATTTTCTTTTTAGAGCTACTGTACAGCAAAAATAATCTTGGTTTGCATCATTATTTTCTGTTTATGTAAAGCTGTACTACAATATGTATTGTATGAAGGGCTTTATAAATAAAAGTGACCTGACTGACTTGCTGAGGGATAAACATCTCAATGTCTGAAGTGTGTCGAACACAGGCATGTAATGCTCTACTGAGGACAACCAAATGGATGGAAATGCCATTTTAACTAGTAATTGTAAAGAACCCTTCATTTAAATACTGATATTATGTTTAACACTGCAAATGACTGTATATTTTTAGTGAACATAGGCTTATAGGCTTTTAAGTTAATTTACGCTAAGAAATAATTTAAGATATTTTATTAACATAAATAAATGCAATATTTTTACATTATAAATAAATTATTTAATAAAGAAATGACATGAATGACAAAAGACAATTACTTTTTATTCTTAAGCAATTACTGATTTTATGAACTCTGCACTGTGCCCAAGCAAAATTTCCCCTTGGGGGAAATAAAGTTAAAGAAAAGAAAGAAAACAATAAAGTTAACCTACCTAGTAAGACGATCAGTTATGTAGATCTGGCTGGCCTAACGTTAGGCCTATTAATTATAGCAAACCTCACTCGTAATTTTTTCTTGGCCTACATCAATGATACTCCATCAATACCTTGCATTTTGCTTTCTTATTATTATTTTTAGTGTCAGCAAGCAAGCCTATTTGCTATCACATTCTGATTCATAATATAGGCCTACTGTTTTTCTCTTTCTAAGCCCGTCCCAAATGAGTGTATGCTATGCACGTTATATTAACTTACCTTACACTTCGGTTACATTTACAGGATGGATTGTTCATAATCAGGCCTACTTATTTTAAATCCCTTAATATTATTTTTCTTATGCCCCCGACCATTGCTTTTAATATTCTTTACGTGGTCAAACTGTTTGTGGTCAAAAAGTGCATTGAGAATGTAAAATCTCACGAGATGTCACGAGATTCCAAGAACCAATCAGAGACGCGTCTTCGTGTAAACTTACAGAAAACATGGCGACGATGTTGTAGAGCACTCTTACCTGAGTAGCTAAACACTTTTAGTGTTTAAACCAAATATCACAAAAGTTTTGTAGCTATTTCAACCAAGTTATGACTACTGAAGCGGTATTGTTCATATTAATTAAAATAAACAATGACCGACAAGAAAAACATCGCTGCGCGACATATATCGGATGCGAGAGAAAATCAGAGCAGAACTCTCAAACTTTCCCAGAGGAAAATGAAAACAAAGACTCGAATGACCGGACTCAAAAAGTCACAGTCTCCGTCGTATCACACTTCATACAGATGTCGCAAAGGTATGTAACGTTAAGTTTGTAAGACACCAGAACGCGTGACAACGCATCGGAATGCAGATGTTTATCCTACAGAAGTACTGTTGCTGTTGCAGTGTCATGATGGTGCATTACTGAACGATTTATGTAACTTATAATGTTATATGCATGGGACAGGTATGTGCTTCGTTATTCTACGGTGGTAACTTCTTGTATGTCTAAAACTCATGCTGCTACTTGTTAGTGTCCACGTGATTTGTTTTTCATACAAAGTATATCGTTGTTGACATTTTTATCTTAATTATCAGATTTTACAACACCAAAACGTCGACCAAGAATCAGATTCAACGGTTGTTACAGCGGAGATTCGCCTAATGAGACCGAGCCCCCGCAAGACATCATCTGGGATCCCAACTCACCCACGCAAAACTTGAATGGCAAGTGTGATCATAAAACTTACACTAGTCAAATAGTCAATATTTTCTTTCTTTTTTTAGGGGATTAGGGGTTGGTTGTATGGTTTTATTTCTTTAAGGTCACAGTAATGGTATATATTGTAATATAGCTGTATTCGATGGAAATTAAATTAAATAGCCTAGTTTAAATATATCTGGTAATGTATATTATCAGACAATCTGCCCTCTCTTCAATATTGCATTTCACTTGAAAAATGTCACAACCACACTGAGTGTAAAGTTGGTTGCAACTTCTGGTTCACACTGACCTGAAGTTCAAAATTGTTAAATAACAAGTTTTTACATCCAGCTCTGTTTGTTTGCATTACTCCATCGTTGCATTTAGTATATTGTTGCATAAAATCCTTTTGTCACTGTGCATAATACCACCTTAAACAGATAAATGTCGCTCTCTTAATCAATAGCAGTATTAAATATTTGTAACCATTCACAGGAAGAGAAAATGCGAACGTCATTGAGATATCGGAAATTGTCAATAGGATTGCACCAAAAGTAAGTATTGAACAATATATAGCCAAATACAGTGGATATTATGTATGTCATGGTAATTTTAATCTAACAGTTATTCTATGTTAAAGGTTGAGAAGTCGAAAGAAAGGGACTCGGTGCTCCAGTGGATTGGAGACAGTGCCATACCCAGCACTCCAGAGATCAGACAGCCCAGGGTCAGGAGAATCTCAGCACGGTACGTGTCTTCTAATCACCAACAGGCTCAACATTTAAAAGGTGCCGTAAACCTTTTTAGACTAGCATGCATAAAATGTCTCTATTACCTGACAGGTGTACTGCAACTGTATGACTCTCTTCAACATCTTTTACCATTTCACCCCTGGATCTGTGTTCGCAGTGCCTGTGCGAAATAATGTGAATATTCTGAATGATAATTGTCTCGTAATTTTTTGCTGTTTTATTGTGCCTCCGTTCTGAGTCATTGAAAATTTATTATCTGCCAATAATGAGTTCCGATCCGATACTTGTATTTTCCGAGTGATTTTAAGTTATTAAATTCTGTCCACAGGGCCATGCAGAGAGTTTCTCAGGGGGAGGAGCTCAAATGTAAATATCACTATAAAGTAATGTCAATATGACAATAAATACAATATATTTGTAAATAGTAGAATAATTGCAACAAAAATGAAAAAAAAAAAGTGGCAGGTTAGAAAACATGATCAGGTGGTCAAAGCCAGTCTGTCAGTAATGTCCAAAGCTAGACGCAACCCATACCAATGTGTCATACCGTAATTGTATCCGAGTAAGTATCTGAGTGGTTCGTGTTGTCAACATGGAGAGATGAAGCTGTTTCCATGATGTAGTGCTGTGAATCCACTTTAGCTGCTTTTACTCCGTCGGGCCAAACCGCTCTCTTTGCTTAACCGTTCCCTTCTGTGCCGATCCGGACCAACCATAACTACGGATATGGTAACTTTTCTTAGTTTTCCACTAGGGCTTGGTATCAAAATGTTCGATACCGATACCTTGACTTTGATACCGGTTCCTGAACGATACTTTTTTCGATACCAATTTTATGTAACCAAGTTTTAACAAAATAATATTACCTTTTTTTAAATTTTTTTTTTCAGTTTGTTGACTTTTTCACACTCATATTTTGAGTATGCGAAAAAGCACCAATCCTAAAGTTTTCTATGTTTCCTAATCATTCAACAACATGTATTCTTTACTTCAATGAGCTCATTGTTTCTGCCTTATCTTAACGCATTGTTTAACAATGAAACTGAATGAAAATTAATTGAAATGCATTACACTGTAACCTCAGATCATTGTAATTTAGAAACATGCATTTTCTGCAAAGCTGCTTTGAAACGATATGTATTGTGAAAAATGCTATACAAATAAATGTGAATTAAAGGCTACTGGGGGGCGGGATTTATGCCTCGCATTCAGCACACATGAACCTTGCCGCAAAGCACTGGCAACAGTAGCCTAATGATTATGGATGTGTCGGGAAACAACAGCAAGGATATATTTTAATTGTTTATTAAAGGGTTAGTTCACCCAAAAATGAAAATTAAGTCATTAATTACTCACCCCCATGCTGTACCAACCCCGTAAGACCTTCGTTCATCTTCGGAATGCAAATAAAGATATTTTTGATTAAATTTGAGAGCTGTATAACTACCACATAGGCTCCTAAGGGACTGCCTCTTGACGGCCCAGAAAGTCAATGAAGAAAATGTTTAAATATCCCAAGTGACTACCGTGGCTCAACTATAAGTTTATCAAGCGACGAGAATACTTTTTGTGCGAAAAAACAAACAAAAATAACGAGTTTATTCGACTATTCCTTTTCTTCCTTGTTGGCCAGAAACGAGACTTCCTTAGATTTCCACGATGCATGCGCGAGAACTGAACTGAAGTAGTGTAAGGAGATCGCATTCGCAATTCTCGCGCATGCGTCGTGGAAATCTAAGGAAGTCTCGTTTCTGGCCTACAAGGAAGAAAAGGAATAGTCGGATAAACTCGTTATTTTTGTTTGTTTTTTCGCACAAAAATATTCTCGTCGCTTGATAAACATATAGTTGAGCCACGGTTGTCACTTGGGATATTTAAATATTTTCTTTATTGACTTTCTGGGCCGTCAAGAGGCAGTCCCTTAAGAGCCAATGTGGTAGTTATACAGCTCTCAAATTTAATCAAAAATATCTTCATTTGTGTTCCGAAGATGAACGAAGGTCTTAGGGGCCGTTCACATATCGCGCCTAAAAACGTGTAGAAAACGCTAGGCGCACGCGTTCTCCTTTTTCCAAAGAAGCGCTAGGGCGGTTGCACTCCGGAGGCGTCTGTCGTTGCTAAGCAACCATCAGCTGCGCTCTCCATTACATGAAGGAAATTTCAGCAATGGATTTCCACCACCGAAAAACCTTTGCTGTAACTCTGTTACAAGATTTATTTACTCAGAAAAGTAAAAAAACGCAGCAGTGTTTGGGTGCACCCCATACTACAAAAACGCAAGAACCATGGAGAATTTCACCATGTGATTCAGGAACTCCGCCTGGACAATGGGAGGTTCAAAGCCTATTTCAGAGTGGACAAGGACCAGTTTGATTATATTTTAAGAAGAGGTAACAAAAATGGAGAGGAAGCTGATTGGTTGACGTGACACGTGACCTACGGTGCGCTTGCGGCATTCTGAAAAGTTGAGATGTTTTTATCTCGATGCGGCGCGGACGCGCCTGGAAAAAACGAGCGCGTCGCACCGCGACCGCGTCGCTTTCATTATGAGCGCGCATACCGCGCGCCTACATTTGAAATAACGAACTTGAGCGCGCAAAAGACGCGATATGTGAACCGGCCCTTATGGGGTTGGTACAGCATGGGGGTGAGTAATTAATGACTTAATTTTCATTTTTGGGTGAACTAACCCTTTAATAAACAAGTGTTTAATAAGTGTGCTGGCTGCAAATATGATTATGGCGATGCTGACTCGTCATTCCTGCAGTAGTGAATGTGCGCGCCTATATGGATTAGGTAATCAAACTATTTATTTCTAATTGTTTCGTTTAAAAGTAGACATATTTTGACCGTCTATAGTCCTATTTCTCATGTCTATGAGGCAAGTGTCCTATATGCTGAGTGTCGGTTCATCTGTGACGTGCTCCAGTTCTTGCAGTCGAAGATGGATAAACTTTCTACTTGCGAGTGTCTGTGCGCTTATCAGATTTACCGTGTTACCGGTTTTGGCGGCAATTATCTTGTTGAAAATATTGCATTGCGTGCTTCTGGCATTGAGTCTGGCACATAGGTACACTTTGGATCATTTCCAAATATGTTCTATCTATCTGGGTTGGGACACACACACACACACTGCAGGCAATTTGGTCGGTAGAAATTCGCTAAAATATCACTGCCCTAGTTTCTTGCTGTAATTGTTGTAGCGCTGCTGTCGTTGCAATGTATTATCTGGTAGAGCTGCCAGACTGAAGCAATTTTAGCTGTACATAGAAAAATCTCACGAGTTTTGCATCATATGATCAGCTCTTCTGATCTGCCTTTATAGAGACCACCGATCAAACTATATAAAGCTATTATTGGCCAATAACAATCAGTGTACCATTATTGTTTTGGCATATACATTGATTTCAGAGATTTATGATCTTTCAGATTTACATTAATTCGCCATCTTTTTCCTTTAGGCAGAGCAGTGTTGAGGACCTTAAGAAACTTGCCAAGCAGTTTGACATCAATATGACTCGTCAGGACAAAGAGAAACAACAGGAGAGCACCGAAAAAAGAAATAAACTCAATAAGCTACAAAGTGATGGTACAGCGGTCTCGTTGGAACAACTAACTGGCTGCTCATCTGTTGCCCGCCAGGAAGAGGAAGAGCTTCAGGCACTGTTTGATGGTCCAACTCAGCACGTAAATGGGAGACTGAGCCCGCCATCAGCCAACTGCACACCAGAAAGCAGTGCTGAACCTGTAGCTCAGGCTGGACAGAGCTCAAGTTCTGCAGCAATCAAGAATGCTCCCGTGGACGCACCTAAAGCTACTGAGGCGAAGTTTGATGATGACTGGGAAAACGATGACCTTCTGAATGACTCATTTGTGCTGGAAATGACACAGAACCCAGTGTCTTTGAATGTAGCTCAGAAACAGAGTGCTGCTCAGCCCAAGTCTTGGTCTAAGAAATGTCATTTTGAGGCCAAGGTTAATCCCTCTGTATCTAATGGCAGAAACATCTGTTTTGAAACTCAACAGAGCACCAGCAAAATCAGCACCTTTACCAAGACACTTCCTGATGTCAAAACGTCTAATCGAAGCACTTTTACGTTGAAGCCACCTGCTTCTGTCCAAAATAACACTACTGAGAAGCTGCCAAAGACTTCACTTGTGAATCAAGAAAAACAGCAAACACAGGGTACGAAACTAGTAGAGCTTGATGGAATGACCAAAGATGGTGGAGTTTCAAGTCAGTCCTCTTCTGTTCAGTTTGATGGGGTTTCGGAGGAGGACATGAAGTCTCTGTTTGATTCCGACAGTCTGTGGAATGACGAAGACGACGATGATCTCCTTTTTCAGGCTTGCGATGATGTGGAAAAGTTATCGGCCAGTCAAGAACAGCAAAGATGCAGCGAAAAGTACAAAAATCTTGCACATGACAAATCAAAAAGCTTTGCATCTAAAGCACCTTTCTCCTTTGACACCATTTGTTCTCAGAACATGGGCATCAACAGCAGAGGCCAACCACAAGAACCCACAAAATCCACACGCCCATTTGCTCGCTCAAACTCGGTACCGTGTACAAGTGGCAGCTCTGGATTTAAACAGGTTCAGCACTATGGACATGCACAAAACAAATCACATCAAGTGAAATGTGCCTTAGGATCCAGGCCTGGTTCTGCCGGATCCATGGACGCCTCAAAGACTGTTATGCCACACAGCGCAAAAGTAGGAAATACTTCAAACTCCCACCATTACACATTCAAAAGACATCTGTCAGACTCCATGCCGCTAACCAACAAAGGTAAGCTTTGTATGCTGTGGCACTGGCACCTGCAGCACATTAACTCTGAAATGGCATCATAGAATACTCCTACAGGAGATCACTGTAATAGGCAAGTTTGCTTAACCTGTTAAAAGAATAGTTCAAACATAACTGAAAAATCCGTCATCATTTACTCGCCCTCATGTTGGTCCAAACTCGCATGAATTTCTTTACAGTATATTCTGTATTTGTGTGTCTCTCTCTCTCTCTCTCTCTCTCTCTCTCTCTCTCTCTCTCTCTCTCTCTCTCTCTAAAAAAACAGTAATATTGTGAAATATTATTACAATTTAAAACAGCGGTTTTCTTTGTGAATAAATAGTGAAGTGTAACTTACTCCTGTAAACAAAACTGAATTTACAGCATCATTATTGCAGTCTTGAGTGTCACAGGATCCTACAGAAATTATTATAATATGATGCTCAAGAAACATGTATGATTATTATCCATGTTGAAAACAGTTTTTTACATTTTTATTTCAGGATTCTTTGATGAATAGAAAGTCCAAAAGAACTGATCTGATCTGAAATGGAAAGCTTTTGTAACATTAATCACTACCATTCAAAAGTTTGGGGTCAGTAAGAATTTTATTTATTTTATTATTTTTTTTATTTATTTTTTTTTTTGGGGGGGGGGATTAGAAAATACTTTTATTCATCATGGATGAGTTAAATTGATCAAAAGTTACAGTAAATACATTTATAATGGTAGAAAAGATTATTTTTTTTAAATAAATGCTGTTCTTTTGAACTTTCTATTCATCATAGAATTTTGGGGGAAAAAATGGTACACGACTGTTTTCAACATTGAAAATAATAATTTGTTTTTTGAGCATAAAATCAGCATATTAGAATGATTTCTGAAGGATCATGTGACACTGAAAAATGATGTGTAATCATCATTGAATTTTCAATGATGTTGAAAATTCAGCTTTCAAATTACATTTTAAAATATATTAAAATAGAAAACAGTCATTTTTTTTATTTATTTTTTATCAAATAAAGCAGCCTTGGTGAGCAGTTGAGACTTAACTTAAAAACATAAAAAATCGTACTGATCTAAAACGTTTTGACCATAGTGTAAACACACACACACATATATATATTATTATTCAGATGCAAAAGCCTCTAAATGCCATTTGAAATTTTCTTCTTGAATGATGATTTTTATCAAACTTGTATATTAAAGTTCAGTAATTTCACTTAAATAACAATTAATAGGTAATCATCATTGCCATTTAAGTGAAATCACTGAACTTAAATATACAAGCTTGATAAAAATGATCATTTTAGAAGAAAATTTCAAATGGCACTTAGAGGCTTTTGCATCTGAACTCTTCATATATATATATATATATACACTTTACTTTATTACTTTAATGATCACGTCTTCTAATCTAGAATAAGGGTGTCAGGAAAGTTTGATGCTGAATTAAACATTGAAACTCTGAGATTATTATTCATTCTTTAAAAGTTTTACATCTCCCAGTTACATTCCACAGACCCGTAACCCAACTTTTTTGCTGTTGTTGTTGTTTTGCAGTTTTTATTTCATCCCATACGACAGCCAAATGTTCAGCTGCCGAGATTGAGAGGAAGAAACAGGAAGCGATTGCGAGAAGGAGATTACGGCTGCAGGCTAGTCAAAAAGATGGAACCCCGACATAGGACACCACAGAGAAGCTTGGACTGTACTGAATGTCAGGGATGTTCTGGCCTGTTAAGAACTAAATTATGTAATTATGACGGTAATGAAGCATATAGCCTGGAGATCATATTTCAGTCCTTCATATCCTAATTTAGAGTTGAAAACTAATTTGTCTCTTTGAAGGAAATGTTACTTGAAGATTTCTCATGCTTTTCTAAATAATGTACTTCAGTGTCATATCTGTCTAACTGCCAAACTAAATGGCTAGAGTTACAAGAGAAAGCAATTTCTCGCACATTACGGATCCGTTATTACAACCCAGTATTGTCAGTAAAATTTATGTCCTCACACTTTTTTTTTCTTTCTTTTTTTTTCAAAATTTGATGAAGCATTTCTAACCATGTGTCATCTGAATCGTGAAAGAAAAGGAACAGACTTTGGATTATGCCTCATTAAATGCTGTTACAAATGTAAGGTCACTTTCCATTGGTCAGTATTATGTGTAGTTATTAATGGGGGGAAAAAATACTTGAATTTTTGTCAATCAAGCTAAAGATCCTGGAGATCTTTTTTTTTCTTTTCATTTGTTGTCTGTTCTATATTTTTTTGTTAAACACAATTGTGTCAGTATTTAAAGCTAACAAAGAGGAAGCAAAAGTTTTAGTGTATTTTTGCTTTCAAAAGTATTGAATAAAACGTTGTGAAAGTTGACTGACTGCAATCTTTGAGTCTCGATCAGTCTAATGACATATTGAATCGATAATTACATCCAGAAATAGCCAATCAGATGTCAAACCTCATTCATAACTAATTACCTTCTTAATGTGTAATGCTCTTAAAATGTAATCTTTTAAAAATTACATTTTCTATGCTTATAATAAAAACCCCATCCACACCTGGTTTATTGTATGTCACAATGTTAGTCATTGTGTGCCTCGGGGAATGTCGGCATATCATTGGGATCCGGCCCTTCTCAGGTGGAAGCCGCACAGGTGTGTGTGTGTGTGTACTCCGCCGGTCGAGGCGCAGCATAGCGTATTGTAACGTAACCCCTCCTCTCCCGCACAATTACTGTAAATCAAATGCCACAGTAATTTGGCAAGAGGACGAGGACTTTTTTATTACTGTGATTATGGTTATGATGATGACTACAATTTATTCCAAGCAGATGATGAAAAAGCTGGGCCCTACAGGTGTTGAGTTCATACAATATAGAAGTTGGTGAAGGATTTTTCTGTAATGTGGCATTATCAAGCTGCTGTGGAACAGAGTAATGGGTGTTTCTGTATTTTTTGCGTCAAAAAATGGAGAGCAATTACTGATTATTGTGATGGATCCATGCCATGCAGCGAGAGCGTACTCTGGTATCAAGCTGTAGTAATTACGTCAAATTACTGTGTCTTGGTGCCAGATGCAATTTGCATTTCAGCATACTTGTTGGTTTGGGAAGAAACAAGATAACGGTTCTCAGACTAAGCAAGAAGGAAACTCTAACTGTAAATTAGAGTCCGGAGACTGAAATGTTCTTGAGCTGTTGTTAATATGATGTCTTAAAGCTTAATGTTCAGTCATGACATTGTGCTTTCTCAAAAACTAACAACCCCTAATCCCGTTCACTCAATAGTGTCCAATGTAGTGTCATGCCCCCACTTACCAAAGTCAATTCAGTTGACGAAAGTTCTGACAGAGTGTTATCTGTGCGTTAAGGACACCGTATGGTGAAACTCACCTTAACTGGTGAACTTTGACGGCCTGGGGAATTATGGATCTTAAAAGGACGGTACACGCAAACATGGTGTTTCTGTCGTTCACTGTCATGTGATGTCAAAATGCTGTTGGAACATGAAGAGAGACATTTTGAAGAATCTTTATGCAGTGCTTTTCTATAAAATTACATTTTGTACTTCATGAAGAAACTTTCATTTAAAGGGTTAGTTCACCCAAAAATGAAAATTCTGTCAGTATTTACACACCCTCATGTTGTTCCAACCCCGTAAGACCTTCGTTCATCTTCGGAACACAAATTAAGATATTTAAGATATTAAGATCGCTCCTGCATACAGTCCATAGGCTTCTTGAGGGACTGGCTCTTGCTGTCTCCGAAAAGTCATTAAAGACATCGTTAAAATAGTCCAAGTGACTACAGGGGCTCAATCTTAAGTTTATCAAACGACGAGAACACTTTTGTGCGCAAAAAAACAACAAAAATAACGACTTTATTTCAACTATTCGTTTATTTCTCCCTCTGTGCGAGTCAGGTTACTAGTTTAATAGCGTAAGCTTCTGTTATTGTACGTCACACGCATCACACACACATGACCAGCGTCGGCCAATAGTGAGCCTATGTGTGACGTAGCTTTACGCAATCACACTACATTAACTGACTTACAGGCTCATGGAGAAGGACGTGAATAGTTGAAATAAAGTCGTTATTTTTGTTGTTTTTTTGCGCACAAAAGTGTTCTCGTCGTTTGATAAACTTAAGATTGAGCCCTTGTAGTCACTTGGACTATTTTAACTTTGTCTTTAATGACTTTTCGGGGACAGCAAGAGCCAGTCCCTCAAGAAGCCTATGGACTGTATGCAGGAGCGATCTTAATATCTTAAATATCTTAATTTGTGTTCCGAAGATGAACGAAGGTCTTACGGGGTTGGAACAACATGAGGGTGAGTAAATACTGACAGAATTGTCATTTTTGGGTGAACTAACCCTTTAATCAAGATGTTATTCATAGTGGGAAAATGTTCTTAACATGTTCTTCATACATAAAAAAATAAATATATTTTAAGAACTTTGCTAAAATGTTATTTTGGGACATATGCATTGCTGAAAAAAAACAACAACAAACAAACACATTGAACCTATTTTTTCTTTTTCTTTTTTAGGTTGTTTTTTTAGTCACTCTCATTCCAATCCAAACCTGTAAGATCTTCTTCGGAACTCAAATGAAGAGCGTTTTTGATGAAATCTGAGAGATATGTTCAAAGTGATCATGTCTCTGCATGAAATTTGGGACTAAACCAATTCATATGGTTAGTTCGGTGTCTTTATGAACTTTTTTACTATCCCTAATTACATTCTTTACATTTTTCCTTTTCTATTCCATAAGAAGAAGAAAAAAACAGCATAAAGGTTTGGAATGACTTGATGATAAAAAAAAGAAAAGACTTTAGTCTGAAATTGTATTTTTGTGTGATGTCAAAATCATGATATCAAGTGAGCTTTTCTTTTTTGGTACTGAACATGTAAAGAAAACACAATAAACAATTAGATGGTATTCCCATGTCTCATCCACTAGTTGTTGTCAGAGCATCGTCCTTTGCAGATTACGACACAAAGGTATGACTAAAACACAAAACAGCAGAGTGGGGGGGTTGGGGGACAGGGGGGCTCCAGTTGTCATCAAGCTAAATGAACTGTGAATATTTTCACAGTGCGTGTCATTAGCAGCTTAGATTTGTTTCAACAGGGCTTACCTGAGGGCTCTATTCATTGGCCCCCAGGTATGAACAGGCTAATGCACAAACTAAAGCAGAGCCTTCTCCCCTCCACAGGCATCTCCAAACTAAACTGAAAGAAGCCTCATGTTTTCTCCATTATGAGAGCATTCCTGCACAGACAGGTCGGTCAGATTGCACAAGGAATATGCTGAATTCACTCATTTGAAAAGACCCTATAGCTGTTATTCTAGTATATGACAAACTCATTGGTGAAACAGTTTTTGATTCTAACGTTTGCCTTTGCTTTCTGAATGCATTCTGGAAATCATATTATGATATAACCATATTATACATGAGTCATTGGTTCTGCATATATAACCTTTGGTTGCTATGTTGTGAGATATTAGTAGTCAGTATGATTTGTGTGTTATATTCCAAGTCTTCTGTTGTGGAAAAAGAAGTCTGCTTTAGCAGTTATGGAAATAATAATGTGTATGAACTGAATGTAATGTTTTCGGACAGTTAATTGCATTTTATTCACCGTTAAATTAAAATAGTTTAAATGCAAACCGTTAAGAGTGCTTTTTTGACCCACTTAACTTCTTAATTTGTAATTTTATAACTTAAAGTAAACTATCGAATGACCTGACAAGCATTTATAGCAAACTTGAATGTAAATGCTTTAAAATGTACTTTAATATAAAATTTTTGATTTGACATTATTACAAAGTGCGCTTTTGAAAAGTGTGTTAAGAAACGGTCACAAAAGTGTACTCTTACTTCAGTTACCTATTATTTAATTAATTTTATATTATTGCAAGTACATTTTGTTATTTTCTTATATATGTCCATTCATATATACCGTAGAGATGCATATTACAGTAGCACTACTGCTTTTGTGTAAACAATAAAATACTGCAAATTCCCATATACAGTAAGTTACTGTAAATTTCATTAAAAATACCCACAATGCACTGCATATCACAGTAGTTAACCGTAAATAAAATAAATGGGATTTTACTGGGCTTTTTTGCGGTAAGTAACTGTAAAATTACGGCAAAGTCTAACAGTGTGTGTAAACTTTTAAGAATTTAAGTATCTTACAAGTGCATGTTCAATACAATTAAACACTTCTTTTTCAAGTCAAATCATCCAGTAAGAGTTGACAAAAGGTGCTAGTGTAACCTCTGACAGAGTGTGTTATCTGTATGTTAACATCAAGCCACTGTAAGCATGACATTTGCCAAGTTTACCATTCCTTAGAACTTCAACAGCCGGGGGAATTACAGAGCTTAAAGGGACAGTTCACCCACTTATGCAAATACTGGCCTTTTTTACTCAACATTATGTAGTTCTTAACTTGTGTGCTGGTATTTGTTTGTGAAAAACCAATGAAATTTTTTTCTTTTATGTTCATGCGTTTACCATAAAATTGGTCAATGTTACACATGCACTATAAAGTCTTCTAAGCCACACTAAAGCTTTGTGTGAGGGAAAAAAAGACCAAAGTTTCTATTCTCCGAACATCTTTCCATCTGCTGCAGCTCTTAATTCTCATTCTGCATAGGCGACCTGGCATGTGGTGTTTTGTTATGACAAGCGAGAGAGCGCATGTTGACGTCCAATGTCAATGGCTTCAAACCCCGTGTGACGCATTGATGGATCATGAATTAGTTTGTCACAAATAAATTAAAATGTTTAATTTATCAAATGAGATTCAGATATGGGGAATATTTTCAGTGTTCATTAATTATTCAGTGGTGGGCTGTCAGGGCCATCAGGGCCTTCTCTGCTGGCCCTGTCAAAATATAATATAATATAATTCGATATAATATATATATATATTGATATCTGACTGACGTGTATCATTAGCCAATAAAATTTTGATGCGCAGTGACAGATCGCCCCAGGGGGCAGCGATGTGTATCGGCGCTAGCCCCCGCTGATGTCATCAGCCGTTTGAAAATTCGGCGGGTTTTGAGCGTGAGCAATGTCAGTAAATGTCAGCTTTATGCCCTCATGTGCTTGATCGCGACCATTCCAGTGTCCACCGCATCAGTTGAGCGATCTTTCCACTCTCAAGCACATCAAAAGGTATTTAAGGAATACAACTGAACAAACACGACTCTCAGCACGACTCTCTCATCTATTGCCATAGGAGCTGCTCATTCATCCTAAGCAGGACGCACAACTGCATGAGGAGGTCATTGAACGGGTTGTGATGATCGTTACTGAAGGCCCTGACTGAGACCCAACGGTACGCTACTGTTATTAT